AAAGGCTATTAGAGCCCAGAAGCCCTGAGGTGGCTTGATGTGATCAGGTAGGTAAAGAGCAGGCAAGTGAAATGGAGCAAGGGACAGTCTCTGAGCCCCTGGCTGTGGGGCTGGTGGGATGAGGCCAGTGAGACTATACTGGGGCTTCTCCCACCTCTCTTTCAGAAAACAGGTGATTTCTGAATTTCAATTCTAACCTGGTTTTAATAAAATAACTTTTGTTTTGAATTATACTTTATAATCCTTGTTCATAATTTTGAGGGTGATTTGTAACGTATATCACCCCCCAAAATTCTTTGAAATCTGAAAAACATATTTAGTGTCTCCCCTCTTCTCCCATCTCAGCACTCTGAGGTAAAAAGAAAGTAGCTCCCTACTTCTCCCCAAAGCCATCCATAAGGCCTTGTACAAAGCTGAGTGGTTGTTAAATATATACCCTTTGCAGCAGTGCGGACAATGCCAGCCAATCTCAGTCCAGTCTCCAGTGCTCTTCCCTCTCACCCCATCCCATTCACTTCCTTTTGTCTTTGTTTTTTCTTTTTTTTTTTTTTTTTTTGCAGCACAGGGGCTTGAACTCAGGGCCTCACGCTTGCTAGGCAGGAGCTGTGCCACTTGAGCCACTCCACCAGCCCTTACTTCCTTTTGTCTTGCAATAGATGTCTTACTCATTAAAAAAAAAAAAAACTGTGTGTGTGTGTCGGAGCGGTGAGGGGGTACTGTGGCTCACATCTGTAATCCTAGCTGTTTGGGCGGCTGAGATGGGAGGAACACAGTTCAGGCCAGCTTGGGCAAAAAGTTTGTGAGATCCCCATCTCAGTGTAAAAAATGCTGGATTTGGTGGCGTGTTCCTGTCATCCCAGTGACAATAAGAAGCCTAAAACTGGAGAATTACCTGGGCAAAAGCAAGACCCTATCTCCAGAATAACCAGAGCAAAGAGGGCCAGAGGTGTGGCTCAAGCAGGAGAGTACCTCCCTCAGCCAAGTGCAAATCCCTGAGTTCAAACCCCAGTACTACCACCTCCCCCAGAAAAAGTTAGCTCCATTAGCTTTCTGGGAAAGAAGATAAGATAATGTTGAGCCCTTGAATAGCTGAAAATATCTCTTTTCTCTCTTCTTCCTGATGGATAATCTAGCTTGGAAGATAATTCTACACTGAGGATCAGTTTCACTTTCCCCACTTTTGAAGGCATTGCTCTTGGTCTGCAGTAGTATCATCCGTGTTGAGTGTCTGACTATTGGTATGTAGCCTCTCCTTTCCTCTTGGAATGGTCTAGATTGTTAACCCCGGTGTCCAGAACTTGCATTCTTCGTGCTGACTATTTGGGGTTTAACCCAGGGATGACCGTGATTTCTGGATCCATCTTTATGGTGCAGTTTTCTCTTCCATGTACGTTCTCTTTCTACAATGACTCTTTTCTGTCTTGTTTTCTGTTTTTCCTATTTCTTGGGGAATTCTCCAATTTTATTTTTATCTTCAAATGCAACTCCCCCCCCCACACACACTTTTTGGGGGTGGTTTTCTATTTTCTGTTTAATTCTAGAAGTTTTTGTGTCTCTTTGTGTGGGTTTCTGTTGCATGGATGCAGTAGCTTCTCTGAGTACACTGTAGTTTTGTTTTTATTGCTGAGGTTTTCTTCTGTTCACTCCATTCTTTGTTTCTACCAGGCTTTATTCTTTTGTTTCTTCTCCATCTTTCCCTATAGGACCCTTTTTCAGTTGTCTAGTGATCCTTGGTTGTTGACCCCTTCAAGAGTAAAGTATTGAGGAACAGGGATCTGGTGAGGTTTTTAAAACGAGCATCTGTTTTAGTGACCCAGTGTTTTGGTCGATACTTCTATTGTTGGAGAACTCCAGATCTGTGGGACTGTTTGTTTGATGCAGAAAAGACTTAGGTTCCTGCTGGGGATGGGGGTGGAGACGTGTATGCTGGGAGGTAGCTGGTAAAGTCTAGGGACTCATTTCCTCCATTGTCAGCCTTACTCACTCCTCCCTAGGTGTTCACATTTATTCTCTGGAGAAACTTAAGCTATGTGCTTTAGCAAGACAGGAACCCCAAAGGAGAGGAAAAGACAGCCTGTAGACAGTGATATTCAGAAATAACTACTGTAAATGATGCGTGTGCAAATGCTGAAATTCTCACTTCTTGTTCTTGGTAATACTAATTTAGTTACAGTGCTTGATAGACAATCCCACATGCATTTCGACAAAATCCCACTGACTAGATGGCAGAGTAACTTTGAATGTCTCTTTGAAGGTGCCAGCTGTCTCTTGCTTCCCACCCACTGCCCACTCCTGCAGTGGTTCCAGAGAGGGTGCTCCCTACTCTCTTGCCAGCAGTCTCCCTTACCCAGCATCTGGCCTTGCCCTGGCCTCTACAGCAGTGTCTTTCCAGGGCTCTCATGGATGCATTGGCTCACTTTTTAGAGCTGGCTTCATCTTCCTTCACTCACCCTCCATTCCCCAGGATTTAGGGACATCTTGTCTGCTGTGTCTCCTCTTGGTCCATTCTCTTAACCCTTAGGGGTTTATTCCTTTTATATTTCTTTATTCTTTCTAAAGCTGTTTGGGAAGAGAAGAGAGAAAATCATGTGAGTTCTACCAGCATAAGTATACTTTAGCCATAAATCTACAAATTATGTTGTCAGAACACCCATTTTGCTGCTGCGTTAAAAGCCAGGACTGAGGTGCTGCCCAGTTGGGTGGGAGGGAAGAGGGTCTGAGATTCATGAGAGATGGATTGGCAGGATGAGTGGCCTGCTGGGCACCTGCCTCCAGCTGCTCCCACCTAACATTGGAAAGCCAGATTTATGGTTGAGTGTGCTTACATTCTTGGAAATGGGTTGGGGACTTTCAAAATATTATAGTTCTTCACACATTGTCAAAAGCAGATGAAGTGGAAATAATATACAATTAAATGTATATAGGATCTCCACTCTCCCGTCATAGTTACTGTCCTAGTCTCCTGTTTGGGAGCACTTTTACTGATGTTGACTTCCTGTGGGTGAGCTTCCTCACATAGGAAGTGTACTCCAGTAGAGGCTGGGTGGGGTCCTGTGCCCCTGTGAAATGGGAGCATGCTTGGAGGCTCCCGTCACCTTTTGGGTTTACAGATTATGAGATGACTGTTTGTATTGAGATTTTAGCACCTGCATGGGGCTTTTGTAACCTTTTCCTCATGCTCCAGTGCCACCTGGTAGCCTTGTGCTTCACTCAGCAGCTGGCTAGTTGGAAATGGAGCAGTAAAGAAGTTTGGGCAGGAAGTTCATTTGGTGTCTTGTTGTGACACATATAGGGAACAACGTAAAAAGAAAGGCAGGTTGTGATGGTTACTTGAACCTTGCAGCAGGACATTTATAATCAGTTACTCTCTGGCCCAGCCATCCTGGCTTTGAAGGCTCTCATCCAGCCCCAGATCTCTTGGAAGCCTTGTGTCAGAAGCAGAGGTTTCAGGTTCGCTTCCCTGGAGTCAACAGTAGCTTGCAGAATCCCCATGGCTGATGCCCTCTGTGAGCAGTGAGCAAACTGCTTGCTGTATGTTCCGTGCCATGTGCCTGGGCTCTACTGAGCACGTGTGAGAGCCACAATTGATGTCTGTCCTCCTACATTAGTAGGCTACACTTTCCTTTGGAAAAATGTTTTCTTTCTCAATTTTTTTCTGAAAAACAAAGACCTGACCACTTTTTCTGATTGTAAAGTTTCACACTGGTTTCAAAAGATAACTCCATGTTTGTCTTCACATGGGTTGAGGATAATGTGTGAAGCAAAGTCAGAAACAGTAGCACACATTGGAGGGCATTGAAGGTGCAGTCTCATTCGTCTTCTCATGCCAGACCACACAGGGTCGAGGGGGGAGGAGTCAGCAGCATCAGAGTCACGGATCCAGTGCGCGGAGCCTGGCACCCTGATGGTGGGCTTTAGCTCCCTCTTTTCTTCCAAGCTGTTCTGTAGTAGTATTCCCCTTCTTACCTTGTTGACTTCGCTTATTAGTGACTCACAGTATTGTGCAGAAAAAGGATGTGAGATGTAGCTAATCTATGGTTTTGTTATTGTAACTGCAGTGGCTGGGGAGGGGAGTAAAAAACGTGACTGTCCAAAGGCAAACAAACTAGCCAGCCCAAATCCACATGATCATATGCAGATACATTACTTAATAATGTCAGTAAAACAAAACTGAACCACAAAGGGTGGGGGAAGGGGGAATACAAGACTGACTTCCTGGTACCAACTTCAAGTGTTACTTTTACTAGAAATTTTTTGTAGTATTTTATTCTTCATTCCAGAAGGCTCTGTTAACATTTGTCATTTCCTTACCTGAAGAATTTAGCCTATTCCCTTCCTAACTTGAAGGGCCTGGGTTTACTGCTGACTCTCAAACATCTCTTCACCCAAAACCTGTGCCTTGGGATAGAAGGAGAAGTTGGCAGAAGTGAATGCCATAGGTCCCAGGCCCTTCCCACTTAACCAGCATTTTTTGAGTCCCATAGCCCTAGCCCCTGTGTGGCTGCTGGAAACCCTGTGCTAAGCAGGCAGGCAGGCAGGCAAAGGGAGGCTTTCAGATCACACTGCTGATGTAGAGCAGTGTCCTTCCAATGCAGATCTCACTGCTTCCACTGCTTTCCTCCTCTTAAGTTCCATGCAAGCAGTGCTAGTCCTTTGTCAAGCTGTGTGCTTAGAGTTGTCTCGGCTCCATCTGGAGGAAGTTTATTCCTCTGGACAGGTAGCTGCAGGGCTCCCCATACTGGTCTTCATCCAGGGACAGTTGGCCAACTCTGCTAATTGAAGATGTCTTGCCTCTTTAGGCAGTTAATGCTTACTAGCTTCTCATCTCACTGCAGTGCTATTGGCTGGGCTTTGCTAGGGCCCTTTCTGTGCTGTGGCCCATCTGGGAAAAATTCTAATTCTTAGATTTGTCTTTAGAGTTAGCAGGTATATGAGGAGCTGTTAAGACTGAAGGGACACTTTCATGCAATACTAAAGTAGTAATCTTCTTCCCCTAACAGATGCAGCAGCTTTTTTATGAGAATTATGAACAGAACAAGAAGGGGTACATTAGAGATCTCCATAACAGTAAAATTCACCGAGCCATCACATTGCACCCCAACAAAAACCCACCTTACCAGTACAGGCTTCACAGCTACATGCTGAGTCGCAAGATCGCCGAGCTGCGCCACCGCACAATCCAGCTCCACCGAGAAATCGTCCTGATGAGCAAGTATAGCAACACAGAGATCCACAAGGAAGACCTGCAGCTGGGAATCCCCCCTTCCTTCATGCGGTTTCAGGCCCGCCAGCGAGAGGAGATTCTGGAATGGGAGTTTCTGACAGGGAAATACCTGTATTCAGCCATCGAAGGCCAGCCTCCCCGGAGAGGGATGGACTCAGCACAGAGGGAAGCCTTGGATGACATTGTCATGCAGGTGATGGAGATGATCAACGCCAACGCCAAGACCCGAGGACGCATCATCGACTTCAAGGAGATCCAGTATGGCTACCGCCGAGTGAACCCCATGTACGGGGCAGAGTACATACTGGACCTGCTGCTCCTGTACAAGAAGCACAAAGGGAAGAAGATGACAGTCCCCGTGCGCAGGCATGCCTACCTGCAGCAGACCTTCAGCAAGATCCAGTTCGTGGAACATGAGGAGCTGGACGCACAGGAGCTGGCCAACAGAATCAACCAGGACTCTGGATCCCTGTCCTTTCTCTCTAATTCCCTGAAGAAGCTTGTTCCCTTCCAGCTCCCGGGGTCCAAGAATGAGCACAAAGAGCCCAAAGACAAAAAGATCAACATTCTGATTCCTTTGTCTGGACGTTTTGATATGTTTGTGAGATTCATGGGGAACTTCGAGAAGACCTGTCTCATTCCCAACCAGAACGTCAAGCTCGTAGTGCTGCTTTTCAATTCTGACTCCAACCCAGATAAGGCCAAACAAGTTGAACTGATGCGAGATTACCGCGTTAAGTATCCGAAAGCCGACATGCAGATTTTGCCGGTGTCTGGAGAGTTTTCAAGAGCTCTGGCCCTCGAAGTAGGCTCCTCCCAGTTTAATAATGAGTCTTTGCTCTTCTTCTGTGACGTTGACCTCGTGTTCACTCCGGAATTCCTGCAACGGTGTCGAGCAAACACAGTTTTGGGCCAACAAACCTATTTCCCAATCATCTTCAGCCAGTATGATCCAAAGATTGTTTATAGTGGGAAAGCTCCCAGTGACAACCATTTTGCCTTTACTCAAAAAACTGGCTTCTGGAGAAACTATGGGTTTGGCATTACTTGTATTTATAAGGGAGATCTTGTCCGAGCAGGCGGCTTTGATGTCTCCATCCAGGGCTGGGGCCTGGAGGATGTGGATCTCTTCAACAAGGTCGTCCAGGCGGGTTTGAAGACATTCAGGAGCCAGGAGGTAGGCGTAGTCCACGTGCACCACCCTGTCTTCTGTGACCCCAATCTGGATCCCAAACAGTACAAAATGTGCCTAGGGTCCAAGGCGTCGACCTACGGGTCCACACAGCAGCTGGCTGAGATGTGGCTGGAGAAAAACGATCCAAGCTACAGTAAAAGCAGCAATAATAACGGCTCCACACAGACAGCCTGATGTCCAGCTCTGCTGGACATGACATTTTAATTACCTAATTTATTTTTCAAAAATTTTTTGTATGACCAGTTTTTGAAGTCCATACAAGGATATATTTTCCAAGTGGTTTTCTTACATAGGACTCCTTTAAGATTGAGCTTTTTGAACAAAAATGTGATCAATGTTTGCCTTTGAACACATCTTGCTGATGTAGCAGACCTGCTTAGTTCTGACTTGAAACATACCTGATGAACAAAACTGTTTTTGCTGTTTTGTTTTTTACATTTCTTTTCCAGACCCTACAGTCCTATGGCAGAGAACGTGAACATTCCGACAAAGTATTATTGTAACAAAACACTGTAACTCTGGTCAATGTTCTGTTGTGACTGCTAACCTTGCACAAATTCTACCTTTTGTCTTTTGTCTTTTTTTTTTTTCCACAAGTTTTTTTGTAAGCCATCTCAAGTTTCAGTTATAAGTTAAGGAAATGTGATAATAGCTGTATATCATCGTCTTCAGGACAGCTTTCCCCAAATTGTGCCCCACCCATGGTGGTCGAGTAGGAATTTGGAGCAGGGGAGTGAGGAGAGCACAGTGAAAGCTGGGGTCATTCCTGTTGTAATTCCTTTGGTCTAAACGGTCCTGACTTAACCTCCAACAAGGAATTGGCATTTTCTTTCTTCCTGACCCGTCTCATTAGAGGGGACAACATTAATATTTAGAATGACAAAGAAGATTGTTGTAATAATTCGAATGTATGCAAGCTAAACTAAGAAACAAAAACAACCGATGAAAACGTTGTGGGGACGCATTGGGCTTTGTTTACTTCATCATGTCTGTGTTATGTTGGTGGAGATGGTTACTTCATTTTTAATTACTGTTTTGTTTTATCCTTTGTATCTGAGATACCTTTAATTTATTTAATATCCATTGTTTAGAGCTCTGCCATTTCTTGAGTACCTCTTAGTCATTAGTATTTATGTGTACCAGAGTGTGGTTACTATGTCTTATTTGCAGTAAACTGATCTCCAAAGATTTCCTTTGAAAACACTTTTCCCCTTCTTAATTTTTACATTCCTGTTTTACTAAATGTTAAGTGTTCTTGGACAATTTTGGTGCTCACATGTTTTGGGGACAAAGTGAAATGAATCTGTCATTACACCACAATGCTTGTTTTCAACTCACAGATCAAATGTGCCTTAATAATTTTTTTTCATTTAGGTTTCAAACAGTTGATAGACTTGCCATTTTAAATACACATTGTTGGAGATCTGCTTATTTGTAAATAGCCTATTGCTCATTTGGAAAAATAAACCAGTGGACAATATTTTTCTACTGTACTTTTCAGACCCATTTTGTCTCATTTCTGTTTCAGCTAAAGAATTGTATTAACATTTGGAGAGTAAAAACTTAAACATGAACTCGTAAAGTTTTTCAAGTTAATTGAGGGAAATATTTCATGGACTGCAGTTTGGGAATGAAATGAACTGGTTTTCCTCTTTCTCATCAGCCTGCTGACTCCAGAAACAGACCAGATCCAGGCCCTTGTGTAGTACAAGCACCCCTTCCTGGGCCACCCCTGGGGTCATATTTTAACAGAGCCCCATGCAATGCTATGTGTGCAAAGGTTCTCACGGTTTTATCATCGATCTAGCTAGAGGATAAATGGCACACACAATCAAAAAAAGTGTGATCTCTGATGTCAAGGTAGCAAGCTTCTATGGACAAGAATTACAGTCCCAGGAGAGGTGTTCACAGTGTAATGACAGTTGAGCCCAGCATAATGACATCGTGCTCACAGAAAGAGTTGCTGTAATAATGCCTAATTGCTGTTTACTCTGTAGGAGTGTTTCATTTTTTCTTGGGAAAAAGCACAGACTCTTTCATCCTCCAGTGAGGAAGATCAAAATCCACCTCTTGATAACAAAGGCATGTAAACTCTCCTGGTTATTCTGACAGCACACTGCAGGTATTTGGTCTGTAGGGTACGAATGACACTCTACTGAGCAAAATACCACTCCACACTGTGGTGACACTGCACCTGTCCTTCTTCCTGATGTCACTGTCTGTGAAGCACTGCTTCCCTCAGGGTCCAGTCTCCAGGAACACTGCTGGGCACTTCCCCTGTTCCCCGCCCCTGGCAGTGCATGGACGCTGCCTACTGGTCCCCAGGTTCTACTCTCCTCTCATCATGCCTTGGTCACTCCAGTGCCCTCTTACAGAGGGTGGTCTCTAGTGTCACTAGCACCTGACCCTCAGCCTGATCACGACCTCTGTGTCCCTCATCCCCCACTCTCCAGGGTACGTCCTCTAGGCACACTGACTCTTAACTGTGGGACGTTAGTCTGTTGCTCCAACATGTGATACGTGCCATACCATTGGCCACTGGTGCCATCCTGCCCTCTTCCTGAGTTGATGTGAACATCTGGACACTGTGCTCAGGTGATCATGTCTCCCTCTGTAGCCCCTGAAGGGCAGGCCTAGGTCTCTTCTTCCTGGTGGGCCCCTAGTGCATTGGGAGCCACACTGTCTGCGCTACCCCTGTGCCCTTCCCCACCTGGGCACTCTCCCTCCAGAATGCCTCTGAGTCCTACAGTCCCCACTCTGGGCCCCAGAAAGAATCCCTTCCCTTCCTTGGATTCTAAAAGCCTTCCATGTTTGCCTCTTTGTTTTGCTCATTAGTTCCTGCTCTGTCTTACAATGTATTATTTTAGTTCTAATACAGAAACATTAAAAAAAATGGAGTAGCCCCAAATCCAAACACACCAGCTAGCCCCCGTTAAAAACAATTAATAATATGTCAATAGCAGGGAAGAGGTCACTGTGCACAAAGGTGTGAATACGGAAGCTTCCTTCCAAGTCCAGCTGTCCAGCCTTGGGCCCTTCCCACCAAGTACCACCAAGGTGTTTGTGTTGTGTAAACTGCATAGATAGCATTTACAAATGGGCACCTTTCAGGGGTCTTGCTGGCCTCACACCCCTTTCAGGGGTCTTGCTGGCCTCATGGGCACTACAGGGCAGAAGTGGCTCTCTTGACAGCCTGGGGGTGTGGGGAAGGACAAAGGGCAGCAGGCTTCTGAGTGCTGTATTTGGATATGCAGGAGCCCTGCACTCAGTGGATTGGGACAGCCTTGTCTTCTGCACACGGCACTGGCAGTCATTGGTAACCTACACCTAAATTCCAGAAGGTAGGGTCACCACTGCTGGCACTGGTATTCTGAGCCAGGATGAGACTGGAGCCTGGACATGGGCTATATCATCCCAAACCCCTCTTGTCTGGAGATGAGGTGTCACACACTGCAGATTGTGGAGCAATCCCTCTGTAAATGCAGGCAGACCCTGGGAGTGAGGGCCAGGCATCCCTTCCCTTGAGGCTGAGAGCTGGAGAGGAAGTGAAAACTCCACAAGCCTGCTGATCAAGTTCTTGAACCTGTGGGTGAATCTGTCTGAGCCTCCTTCCTGCCCAGCCCTTCTTCCACTTCCTAGTTTACCAAGTCCTCTAAGCCTGGGTCCCATCTCAGCCTAGAGTAGGATACAGACATGGCTAATGCACCCTTTGCTGACTGTACATGTATCTGACCCAAGCTAAAGGAGTCACACTTGCCTTCTTCCTGTGCCTGCTCTGTGGGGGTGGTGTTCTGTGCAGTAGCTTCATTTATTACCATGTATATGGAATCAAATGTACATGCAAGTGAGCTGCAGACACCGCACCCTGTGTCTTAAGACCAGTGTTTAGGTTAAGGGAACCTGTGGACTTTGACACACATCACCCCTGCTGCTGGGGTCTTTTTGCCTTTCAAGACCAGTCCTCCCAGATGGTGACACACTTGCAAGTTCCTGTCTGCTGTATCATTGTCAGTGGCTGAGAGGTTCTGCCCGAATCCCCCAGGTCTAGTCTCTTGTGCTCTTCTGTCAGGCCCTGCCCACCCTGCATGGGTAACCCACCCTACAGAATTAGGCTGCTTTACTGCTATACAAAGTGCTGTAATCTCGGCTACAAAGGGGTTTAGGGGCCACACGACCAGGGACGAGCTGGGAGTCTGTTGACTCAGGTGGCTGTTCAGAGCTGCCACCCACCCAGGCGGGTCCCACAGTGCTTTGCGAACCCTCAAAAGATGTCCCTTTCTGTTCTAGTTGAAAGGGAAAGGCTCACACCACATCTGCTTAGTCTAACTTCATACAAATGCAGTGAAATGTGAAGGCTACAATGCAGTGGATTGATTTGTGTGACTTCCAGTAGAAAAAGCCTTCTTGTGGTAGCTTTGCCATGCTGCAGAGTTGTCTGAACTCTAGCAGGGATGGGGGGACAAAGGGGGGCCGTATAAATCTTTGGTGCAATTCAACCACTTCAATGTGTGTCCTTGGATATTGTGTAATGCATTTAGTTTACCATTAATTATTCTCCAGTTATAAGGATCTTTGAGTTTTATTAATCCAGACAGAAATGAAAGATTGTCCTTTAAAGCTTCCTTTAAAATAGCTATTATGCCTGACTGTTTTGTAGTGAGATTGATCAAATCACTTAAGAGTGCAGGTGAAGCAAACTCTGGACTCTACTTAAATGCAGCTGGTGTTATCTGTAATGATTATCTCCTCACGGAGCAGTCCGGCACAATTAAGTTGGCAAGTGCCCTGGACTGCCACCTCCTTCTTCCTCTTGATTTGTCACAGCTCATTGCCTGGGTGAAGCCATTACCCTGGCTTGCTGCTTCATGTACATTTCCATTGGAGCAAAGGATCCTGAGCTAGACTTTAAAGTCATCCATTCTGAATGAAGTTTGGATCTTTCTTTAATCAAAAACTTCTTGTTCCATAACTAAAGAGAACTTTTAATTGTGCCAGAGCAAAGCAAAACCTTTCTAAAAGCTTTGACACCATCCCACTAGTGTTAGGAAGGAAACTTCTTTTTTTTAGTCAGTAGTTGGGTTTGAACTCAGGGCCTCACACTTGTGATGCAGGCACTCTACCACTTGAGCCACTCCACCAGCTCTTTTTTGTGTTGGTATTTTCAAGAGAAGATCTTATGAACTAGTTGCCAAGGGTTGTCCTTGAACTGCAATCCTTCTGCTCTCTGCCTCCTGAGTAGCTAGAATTATAAGCATGAGCTACTGACACCTCATGTGCATTTCTGAGTTTTAAGTGAGTTCTGTTTCCTCTGTGGTAAATGCAAATGAGTATATTCTAACAGTCCTCTGCGGCCATGGTTACACATTCATAGATCTAGCCAACCCCAGATTGGAAATGCTGGGTGGCAGTGGAGGGTCTATGTCTATATGGACATGTACAGGTTTTTTCCCTTGTCCTTATTCTCTGAGCAATACATTGTCACTGTTTACACAGCATTTCCACTGCATTGGGCACTCAGTTAATCTAGAGATGATTTAAGTATTCGGGAGGGTGCCTGTAAGTTCTGTGCAGATGCCACACCATTTTACATAAAGGGACTGAGCATCTGCAGGTTTTGGTATCTGCAGGGATCCTGGAACCAATCCTGGGTAGTTACTGACAGATACTGTGTAGGGACATAGGAAGGGAAAGGAGGGGTCCATGGTCTTGCTCGTTCTCTCTTGCATTGCCTTCTCCCACTCCAGCACATTCCTGTAAGCATTTTGTCTGTATTTACAGTTTGTTGTAATACAAACTGGCACCTTGCTCTGTTTCCTCCCCTACACAATGATACCTTAAAATCACCTTTAAAGTCTGCCTACTTCCAGGCTGGCAAAATGACTCAAGCAGTAAGAGTGAGGTCACCCTAGCATGTGTGAGCCCCTGAGTTCAAAAAAGATAACAAAGCCTGCCTACTTCCTAGAGATGAGAATTCATGTAATACCATCTCCAGTGTCCCATTGTCCTATCTTAGATAAATGCCACAAGGCCCTTCTGCACAGAGTCCTTTTCATACTTTGGGTCATCTTAATAGATATCCAGCTTCTAAGGCTTGGCCATTCCTGACAACACTTAAGTCCTCTGGTATTTTATTTGATCAACAGTGGCATTTTGTGCCTACTAGCATTTCTGATAACACTTTGAAAAACAAACCTGAACAATCAACTGACCTTCAAGAAGTACTCTGGAGAAAGTGTGCACAGTATCTTGGTTCTACTATCCTGGGAAAACTGCCCTCCACAAACCCAGCCCTGTAGCCACAAAACTTGAGTCATAACAGTGAGAAAAAGGCAGACGGGTATCTTGATGAATCAGGGAATGGAGAGGCGGGTTCCAGATGGATGACCTCTTTGGGAATGAGGGCCACTCACTCTCAGACTCCCAACACTCATCCCGGGGGAAGGGTGGGCCAGGTAAGGAATGGAAGCTACCAGTTCAGGATAAGGGCGGCACT